AAAAAGATTAGAGAAGAGACATCTTAGGTTGGGCTCTCTGCTCCCGGAACTAGACATATATGGTCTTAAGTGTCGTGTTACGCATCAATCATTTCCTTTCCTGAGTCCACGTAAGACAATTTTAATATAGGATATCATTATATGACACCTATAAGCTTGAGCCTTGGAATCAAGATAAATTCTATCACGGGGCAGGGGGAGGAGATGAGCCTGCCTGCTGCTTATAGAATACATTGTATTCACTTTGGTGTATCTGGGAGTTATTAATTATCTGTTGGAACTCTGGGACAAAAGCAAGATATTGATTTGTGATTGAATGGCAAATTCATACATTCCAAACATATATATATATAATTTGTGATCCAACCAAAAATATAAACCAAGTGTAGCACAAGTGCAGTGTAGCACACTATTTTCACTAGTCCCACTCAAATTGACTCAGCAGTCTTGCATGGCATTCTCATGCACTGGCTATTGGGAAAGGGTTACAAATACATTTTCTTGGACTTCCTCAGACTTCCTCAGACATCCACATGGCTCTGTACCCCTCAGAGAGCTAATTACAGCCTGAGCTGTAATAGCAAAGATGGCCCATGCCACACTGGTTGAAAACGTTTGTCCTGTATGGTTAGTACAATGTAAGATGCTGACCACATATTTTACCCTGGTTTCTTTTTTACTGCCGTTCTTAATAAACATTTTTTTTGAACCTGAAACCTTTGCAGTTGCAGTTTAAATCTGTTGTCAATTTGTTGTCATGCAGATAGTGACACGTATGTTACACATTTATCGAATAACGAAGACACAGATGAGGCAGGAAGATTTGCTTTTGTAAAAATCTTTTCTTAAGGTTAATTATGAGAAATGCAGAGAATGAACAAAGCAAATGAAATTTGCGAGTAAAAAATTCCAACCAAGGTTTTTTTCATGGCTATTGTGGTCTAAAAAGGGTCTACAAAAAGTTTCCTTTGCAATTCACCATAACTAACAGTTAATTGAATACAATGGAAGTCTGAATGTGCATTCACTGCCTGTGAAGTATTGATAGAGACACAGTATAGACACCTGGACTACAAAGCACATAAAGAATTCCAGGCAATTACCATTCACATGGCTTTGCAGAAGCCGAACTCATTAACACCGATCATATGCACGATATGAACTCCATGGCCTAATGTTGGCATAAACCCTCCTGGGAGGGGAAAACTGACAGCTAGTTATTCTTTATAATTAATGTTATTTTTTTTCCAAGTATTATCTGGCAAATGATCCTCTGCTGTGCTACGTAACAACGTACTCATTGAACTGTGATCTTTCGCTAAATCTTTCCAAATCCGCCAATTGGGCTCTAATGTTACATGTCAGTTCTCAACTCATCCCAATTCATTATTTAGTGAATTAACAATTTTCTTTATATCTACTAGGTGTCCACATTGGAATATTTATTGCCTAGTTCCCAGGACAACTTTTTTTTTTTAATATTCTTCTGTACCATTAACTTTACAAAACAAATCTTCTATAACTATCTTCTCGCTTTCTATAAAATAAAATAAATATGTAATATTTTATAGGTACCTTTTGCATAATGAATATCAAAATATTGTAAAATATGGAACATCCAATGCATATAGTCTGGGAATATAATGGCATCAACATTTAAAGATACATACCTTTTAATCTCCAGTGAAGTACATAGACTGCCTAGTCACTAACAGTCACTGATAGCTGCAATAAGTAACTTGTATTTATATGAAATTGATTGGGGATTGCAATGAGATCCTCTGTACCCCATTAATGAAAAACAAAGCTTTACTGATGAGCTGACACCTACAGTTCATTAGCTACAGGGATGCATGAAGCAATGGTGCCTTCAAGTGGCTTGATGTTTGTCAGTTAAACTACGAGGTGGGGTGTATCTGGAAAGATACATCATATTTTTACACCAGACAGACTTCATTACTCATTTTAATATTTTTTTCTTCATAACAGCATATACATATATATATATATATGTATATATATATATATATAAAAATGTAACTTAAATTATCTGTTTAAGATGTTACCTGGTGTATGGACTCTGCTCTGACCTTAACTGGGCATTGGATGACGGCTCCGTATGACTGACATATTAGTGTCTCTGTTGGCTGTTACATTTACTGCTTACACTATATTTTCCGCTGTGCAGTTTCCTCTGTTCTCAGTTACACTATTTACATTGTCAGTTAGTATCATCTGGTTTCTTTGCTTTTATCCCAGTTCCCTACTGACATGTTCATCAGCTCGTTTACAAAAGCATGTTATTATTTAGAACCGGATGTGTATACTCAGCCTATTTTTATTACTTTTCTTTACAATTTTAAAAGTGAGGCAGTATTAAACAGGATTTTATTTCCTTGTGTTCGTGAAATTGAAACGCTTTTTATCCACGTCACGCTTGTACACATTTGAATATTTGAAATAACTCCTACCTACATGTATTGTACTTTCTTAATGCCTCAATAAAAAATTAAAAAAAGAAAATGACAAAAAATGATGTTACCTGGTAGAGATAAAAATGTTGGTTCATCAAAGATTCCAATGGTCCAGAATTTTAGGAGTTCTCGGTTCTGTATCAGTGTTGGAAATTACAGCAAAACCTCAGATCTATGAGTACTATCCACTGTCTACTGTCCTGATTTATATATTAAATATAGTGCAAATCACATATTACTTGACCTAAAAAGACTGAAATTCTGAGTTTGAACAGACACTCAACATACGCTGCGGGAAGGCTAAACACTAAGCGATAAGAATCAACCCAAAAAGTAGGTGCGTATAACAAACATATACAAACTTGATGATACTTATATAAAGCGTTCTTTTAAATTTGCTTATAATCTTTGTTGGCTGCTGCAATTTTGTCACAATAAGCACACATTGATTGCTATTTACTACTGAATTGCACTTTAAATTAATAAAAGGTTACACTATTATTCTTGCAATTTGATTTTTTGTACATGAAAGTGTTTTTTCCCCAAATATTTTGCTCTTTAAAGAGATACACAGAATATTTTCCACTTTAAAGAGATATACACCCAATTTTTATTTAACTTCTTTTTTAGATTGTTAAATATTTGTTGAGCACCTGTTTTATTTACTTATTATTTTTGGTTGTTATCTACTAAACAAAACCAGCTAAATAACTTATTTTCATGAGTTGTGTTAACTTAAGTTGTGTTAAGGTTGTTTATGAAAATTAATCAAAAATATTTAAAGTTATACACCATATTATATGAAAGATAAAGTATCAATGAAAGTTTCAGAATCCTTTTTTCTGTTACTGATTTTTACTAAACTCTCAGGGATGGTTTATCTCTAATATAATATGGTATATCAATTTAAATATTTTTTATATATATATTTTTTTTAAAGAACTCTATATTTCTGTTCAGTCTATAAGTTAACACAATTTATGGAAATAAGCTGTTATATCAATGCTTGGTATCCCTGCTGGTAAGAAAGTCATATAGAAGAAATAAGTTAAAATTATTGTGTAAATTATGTTTTGTGAAAATAGATATTATGGACAAGAAACTATTATGACAAATTATTTCTAATCTACGACCAAATGATTAGTGTAGGTAAAAAAAAAAATCATACATTATATTATATATTATTTATATATATTATAATTAATAATACTTGTATTTCTCTTAAGTCGCTCAATACCAAATAAAGTCTCAGAGCCACTTGCAAGTTCACATTGTTTTCATGAGATAATTACAAATTATTGATCAGATTAAAGAACAGTTACATACATGTCTGTGCATTTTTTTCAATATACAACTTCTCTCATGTCTGTAGTTCATTTGAAATATTTTGAGCATTACAAATAATATACCGTTTGTTTGTAGTTCAGAACATTAACATAGAAAATTTTATAATTTATTGAAACATTTTCAGGCACCACATGTTTTTTTTTAAAACGATTTTACCATGTCTTTAAAAATGTATGAATCAGTAAATACTTGTACATTTGTCAGTTTAAATTTTTGATTATGGTTCTTATCCCATACAGCCCCTTCCCTACCCCCATTTCTAGAGGGGGATTAAGTTTTGTTCGATTTTTTTTTTTAACTTAATCACATTATTTACTAGACAAATCGAAAATGTTATATTTCACTTTCAATCAAACACAATGTAGTTTATAATAAAAGTTTGGATTAACCTTTATTGAGAGGCATTTTGTATTGTTTTTAGCATTGCATCCTTAATTAGTGATGGGTGTTTGGAGAGAGATCTCCTCTTGATATACTTCAATTTCCCATACAGTTATTTCTTTCCAGATTGGATTTTTATTATGCGAGTAAAAAAAATCTATTTGGGATCCAAAACATTTAAACACAATGTTAACAGTGGGTGGATTTAAAAAAATCAAGAAATTAAATATTTTGGGAATTTGCAACGAATATTACTTACCCCCATGAAAAAAACAATACAACAAAAAAAAAATGAATGAAAACTATTAAACAACTATTGATATGCTTTATCATATATCTGAAATAGTTACTGCTTAAGATTTGAAGCAATATGTAAATGTTGCTTCTAAATTAAAATAAATCCCCACATATAAGATAGTGGTAAATTAGCAAACAAATAAGGACAGGGTGATTTATTTAAACAATTTCAAAAACAAAACATAAAATTACTTTTTTTCAAAACTAAAAAAAGTGCAGGCAAAGTATTAAGATGAGTTTTTTTAAACTAAAACAAAAAAGTATGAAAATTATATTAAAAAAATGATCTATCATCCATCTATTATATCATATATTTGCTTTTGTTTGGGTTAACATTGCCTTTGATCTTTATTATACAAGTCAACTAAGGATGTACTTGCTCTGAAACTCCTTTTAAATGCTTCACTGTGCTGTATTGATGAGTAGACTTGTGCATCATTTTGAACTGACTAGCCGTTCATCCGAAATTTGGATAGTCAGTAGTGATGTGCCGAACGGTTCGCCGAACGGTTCGCCAATCAGCAGCAGACCCTCCCTCCCAGACCCTCCCTCCTCCTGGACAGCATCCATTTTGAAGCTGCATTCTTAGTGAGCTGTCCAGGAGGTGGGAGGGTCTGGGAGGGAGGGTCTGCTGCTGATTGGCTGGAATGTGTCTGCTGACTGTGAGGTACAGGATCAAAGTTTACTCAATGATGATGGGGAACCGTTCGTGGGGAAACATCAACACTAAATACAAACACACTTCTGTGTTAAACATCAACACTACATACAAACAAATTTCTGTGTTAAACATCAAAATTATATATAAACACACCCCTGCATTCAAAAACCAACACATAAATACATGCTTGCATTCAAACGCAAACACCACATACAAGCACATCCCTACATTTACACAAACATACTCCATACAATAACATACATTCAAACACACAAACACTGCTCAGTGCTAAATACAAACCTGCAAACATGGGTAAATGGTAGATCCCCAGCTGTCAATACATTGTTGGAGTTTCACAACAGATGGTGATCTAACTTTTGTCACCCTTGCAATAGGGGGGCCAAAAATAATACTTGCACCTCTTTACTTTAGTTCCACCGCTGCATTGGGGTGGATGGCGTGATTGCACTCAAGGGAGGAGTGCGTGATTGCATGCAAGGGAGAAGGGGGGGCAGGATCCAGGGGGCCCAAGCAAATGCTTTGCCCAGGGTCCAATCAATAATAAAGACAGCTCTGCGTCTGCACTTTTAACAATATAAAACTAAAAGTTGTTGATTTAAGGATATTGGGTGGTGAGCATTCGCTTCCGTTTGTTGCACTTAGAGAATGGGAGCACTTGGTTTTATAAAAAAATAAAATAAAAATACATTATCATGATTATAAAAAGAAAATGAACACAGAAATGTAAGCACACAAACCTTTATTGCATGTAGCTCGAATTAAAGGAGTTGAATTCTTTGCACGCACTTATTTTTCTCATTTAAATCATTACATAAATAGGCATAATTAAAACCTTCCATGACCTCACATCCAATGTGTCTTGTCCACACCCTATGGGTCACACAGGTTATCAATGACCCAAAATTTAGTTAGACCAAAACCTAGGTACAGTATATCACAAAAGTGAGTACACCCCTTACATTTTTGTCAATCTTTTATTATATATTTCCATGTGAAAACACTGAAGAAATGACAGTCTGCTACAATGTAAAGTAGTAAGTGTACAATATCGGCCAGGGAGGCTCCTGCCGACAATGCTTGTGACTCTTACCGAGTGAGCCCCAAAACATGAGTCAACGCCGGCTAACGTTAAAAGCCATCTGGCCAAGGTCGTACTGGACACTGGGCCGTGGAGTTTCACATATGAAATCAGAAGTTGACCCCCCGGCATTGTTCGGAGGGGAGCCGAGACTTCTATATATCGCCTTAAAGTCCTAACCACACAGAGTCTGGGGTCTGAAACGAAAAATCGATAAGAAACCAACGACAAGTCCGATTTGGTCCGTCGTTATACCTGGAAGATAACCCCTTCAGGAGAGAAGCTGAAACCGTCAACATCAAACGCCCTTACATCTGAAACGCAACAAAACAAAATGAGGCACAAATGCAATGTGAGCTTGGCAGAGATTTGCTTCAGCGAGAGGTATGGGTTATCCGGCCATTCCCTCAGGAAGCGTAGCACTGCATCCACGTGCCAATGTTGTGAATATTTTGGTGTGGGTGGCCTCGACAACTTAACACCCTGTAGCAAGCGACAAACCAACGGGTCTTGGCCCACCGGGGTGCCTTGTATCGGCACGTCCGCTGCCGAAATGGCCGATCTGGTCACATTGAGGGTTCAGTATGACCCCCCCGTGTGAACAGGTGGGACAAGTAATTTAGTATTACATGAATAGGTGCTGTAAAGGGATCGGAGTCCCTCTCCAAGCACCAACCATTCCAGGATGTCCATGAGGACATGTAACATCTTCTGGTACCCGGTGCCCATGAATCCCAAAGGAGGTCCTTAGCTGATTGCGATAAGCCCTGGACTGATGAGAAACCCCTGAAATCATCCAAGCTATGAGTTCTAACTTCTGATCTAAGACGAGGGGGTGAGGTTCCCCTCGTGGTACCGTCAGAAGTAGAGGGAGAGACGGTAGTAGGAGCGGCGTGTTGCAGGACATCTCTAATAGGTCCGGGAACCATGCCTGACATTGCCACAGAGGTGTGAGGAGCAGCAGGGGAATCCTGTGGATCCTTACATGTCGGATCACTCTCGCAATCATGGAGAATGGGGGGAATGCATATACTCCCTGTTCCGGCCATGTTTGCAGGAATGCTCTTACCGCCCTGCAGTTCGGGTCCGACAGCCAACTGTAGTAGTTCGGCAGTTGGTGGTTGGTCCGAGACGTGAACAGGTCCAGGCTCAACAGGCGTCTCTGACGCCTCAGTTGTTGGAATATTGATGTATTGAGCTTCCAGTCGCTGTTGTCCCTCCAGTGACGGGAGAACCAATCCGCTGTCAGATTGGAGGTCCCTGGGAGGTATTCTGCTCGAAGTGTAATGTTGTGGGAGAGACAGAACTGGTATATGTCCTTGGTGGCCTCCGTGAGGGCTTGTGATCTGGCTCCGCCCAGGTGGTTAATGTATTGCACCGCCGAAATATTGTCCATGCGGAGCAGAATGCACCAATCCGACATGTCATTGGCCAGACTGCGGATGGCGAAGGACACCGCTATCAATTCTAGACAATTGATGTGGAGGTCATTCTCTTCGCCCTGCCACGGACCCCCAGTGGAGGAGTCCGCGTAGTGTGCACCCCACGATCCGTGCCAACATCCTGAGAGAGACGGTCTCCATCCGGAGAATTCATCTGATCTCCTTCCTTATGGAAACTATCTTTGCCTTGGGGAGGCATAAAATACAGTTCTTCGAGTCGATCTCGAAACCGAGGAACTGCACCGACTGGGCGGGAGAGAGAGACGATTTTTGTTTGTTCACCAAGAAACCCAAGGGTTCCAGACAGTGAATGACAAATTTTGTTTGCAAACGTAGTCTGGATGCCAATTCGCAGAAAAGTAGCAAATCGTCCAGGTAAATGAGACATTGCACACCTGATGAACGGATGTGAGCCATCACCGGCTTCAGCAGCTTCGTGAAACACCACAGAGTGGAACTGAGGCCGAACGGCAGACATGTAAACTGGCATGCGCGCCCTCTCCAACTGAAGCGGAAGAAGCGGCAACACTCCAGGGCGATGGGGACTGACAGGTATGCGTCTTTTAGGTCCAGACGTGTGAACCACTCGTCCTCGATGAGGAGGTCCTGGAAGAGGTGAATGCCTTCCATTTTGAAGTGTCTGTATACCACATATTGGTCCAAATCTCGCAGGTTGATGACAGGTCGGAATTCGCTTGTCTTATTCCTTATCAGGAAGATATTGCTGAAAAAAAACTGCCTCCTTCTGCTGCGTACTGTACTGCACCCTTTCGGAAGAGGGTGAGTATCTCCTCGTCCACCAATAGGTTTTGTCCTGTGGACATGCAAATTGGTGGCGGGGGAGATGTTTGGATTGGAAGCGAGTGGAATTCGATGTTGTAACCTAACACGGTCTGGAGCACCCAGGCGTCGCTGGTGACAGCTTTCCAATTCTGATAGGGTTAGGTTGCCAGCGGTAAACATAGGGGCAGATGAACTGCCATAGGCACTTACCCGTGAAGAAGCAGCCACGTCCATGACCTCTGGAGCCTCTGGCTCTGTTTGTGCCTCGACCCAGAGGATCTCTGGGTCGAGGCAGGGTAGAAATTGGATGTCTGGTAGTTTCTGGAGCCTGATGACCAGAACTGGCTGGTGGCAAAAAAAAAACACCTCCTCCTGGTGGTGTACGAAACACTTGTTTCAGGGATGTTTGCGCCTTGTTCAGCGTGGTGAACAGGTTGACATGCCTTTTTAGTTCTGAGATGAATGCTTCCACGAATAGCAGGCCTTTAGCCTCTGGTCCTAATTCCTTGGCTCCGAGGTTCAGCAGCTTCGTATCGATGCGTAGCAGGGCCGTCCTGCGCTGCTCGATACAGAGCGCTGCATTCGCGTTGCCCAGCAGACATATGGCTCGTTGGGCCCATTCCTGGATAGCATGTGGGTCCAGTTGAGTGCCTTGGGTGAGCGCTATGTCTGCAAAATGCAGAATCTTGGCCAGCGGGCCAGCATGTCTAGGGCTTTGTTTTGAACAGATTTCAGACCTTTTTCGGCCCCTTTGGGGTGGTCCCGTCCAGAGCGGGACATGAAGGACACTACCATGTCAAATTCTGGAGTGCACGCTACCTTCTCCAGTAGAAGCAGTCTAGGGCATTCAGCTTTAAGGCGGGCTCAGACCTCTTTGTAGAGTGGCTTGTGCAGCCAAAAATGGATGAAGTCTGTGAGATGATCAGGAAGGGTCCATTCCGATGACCGCGGATGTCGGATGTTCCGGGGGTCGAAGAGTGGCATTTCCTGTTCGTCCAGGAAAGTACCCTCCTCTCTCTCCTTAGTTTTTGGGGCCCTCCGGGCGTGCCTGTACTCGTCCATCTCTCCAAGAAAGGTCTCCGTGACGTACTGCTATGGGGGTTGCGGCAGGTCTTGCCAATTATCTTCCTCCGAGTGCGAGGCATCCCCGTGCCACCCATCCACGACATCAAGGTTGTCCCGTGGGTCAGAGTCCTCCTCTGAGGAGGGGGGTGGTGGAGCAAGCGACGGGTCTCATTCTATTTGCTTAGGTCTTTTAAACGGTTCTTTGCCTTTAGACTGGCCGGAGGGCCCTTGCGGAGTCTTTTGTGCCTTGAAAGGTCCGAACCTGAGGCCTCCGTCACCTCCGGTGGTGCCATGTCGCCCTGTGGTAAGGGTAGTGCCCATAGTAGGGCTTTCTTGACTGAAGCCGCAACTGCAGCGTTTATAATCGCCTGGAAGTCCTGAGGCGCTTGTGTGTTATCCATGCCTGCAGCTGTCCTGTATGTGAGACAGTGACGGATAGTCAGGTATAATAGTGATGGACACTCACATAGAGGAGTCTGTCTCCTCATACAACTGGGGTTGGCCCAGGGCAAAGCGACCCAATGTGCAAATTATTAAGTAGGTGATGCCTGTGAGTGCTAATAAAATATATATAGATATATATACGTGTGACAATGCGGGAGGCTCCTCTCACCCGTAGACAGGGGGTACCCTGTCGCACCACAGAGACCTGGGTGTCCCTGTGCACTGGGTGTGCCCCAGTTGTACCTGGAGTTGAGACTCCGGTAAGTACAGACAATTGTGTTGTGGTCAGACCGTTAGTATAATATTTACTGCCATAGCAGACCCGCATGTAGTTTAGCAGGGGTGCCCCCTGAGTGGTGTGCCGTGACAATCAGAGGACACCCACTGTAACCATAGTCCCACAATCCGATAGATACGGAAACTGGGGTTCAGCACAGGTGGCCTGCCATGAAAAATGACAGAGGACAGCCACAATCTCACATGTACGCTCGGTACAGTATATATGTAATAAACCCTGGGCAGGGTGTTATAGAATATATATTTGCCTTCAGGCAATAGGGTCTTATGCACTCAGCCACCTTAGTTGGATTATTCATTTAATATGGTAGTTTAGCAGGGTATTCCAGTAATGTTTGTATTTCCTCCCTGATATAGGGAGCAATTGTACCCCCACAGATAGTGGAACAGCAATCCAGTGTTGCTTCATAAAAAAGAAAATGACAGGCTGTTGTAACCTTACACATATACTGTTTACTATAAACAGTGTTCAAAGGAAAACAATCCATCTATAGTATTCTTGTGCAGATCAGGTAGTGCCCGATCTGCAGGGGAGAAAAACGGAACGGCCGTCGAGGATCTCGCGGTACCCGCGAGATCTAAGATGGCCGCAGCACGCGCACGAATTTCAGCAGTGTACCCGCTCATTGTGGGCCCACTGAAACTGCACAAGGTACTGCCCTGACACCCCACCCTCCATCCCCACACGGTCCCTGTGGGAATGCCGCCGCAGATTCCGGAGCGATCGCGTCACTGACAGCCGTGACACCCGCGATCGCGGTGAGAAGGGCAAAGGAGTGACAGACTAGTGGACCAGAAAATAAAAATAGGTAGTAAGAAGTAATATCCAAAAAAGGGGGGTGGGGAACTGGAAGGAAGGCAGGGGGAATCAAGTAATAATATAATAAGACAGTCAAAAAATGTACTCTTAGTCAACAGTAATGTATATGCAGGAGAGGCAAATACTCTGACATGTGCAGGCTGGAGCAGCAAAGAAAGAGGAAATGATGTCACTGTCAGGGCCTTTTATGTGCCATCTACTGTTTTTTGATTGGATGTTACCAATGCCATCTCTACATTATTTCCTCCACTGAATTGGGCACTACATACTGATGTATATTTACTTTGTGTATATTTATTTATTTATAAAATATTTTACCAGGAAAGATACACTGAGTTTTCTGTCCTGGGTCCACAAATCATTGCATTGTTACAATTAGGGTACAATAAAATACAAAAATAATATTCATACACAATAAATACAAAATTTAACATAGAACAGGCAGGAAATATATAATCAACCATGACAGGTGCATTCTGTTTTAAAGGTATGTAGAGAGGGATCTCTTAAAGGACTTAGGGAAGATTTTAAATTGTGCGGGAGGTCGTTCCACAATTGCGGTGCTCTGTAGGAGAAGGAGGATCGGGCTGCTTTCTTTTTGTATTGAGGTAGACTAAATAAAGTGTTGGTACTGGATCGGAGGTTATAGGAAGTGGGAACAGCTGAGGAAAGCATTGTGTTCAGGTAGGGTGGGAGTTTCCCAGAAAAGCTCTTAAACACAAGGCTGGAAAGATGAAGGGTGCGTCTGGATTCCAGCGACAGCCAGTTTAGTTATTTTAGCATGTCACAATGGTGAGTCCTGTAATTACATTGTAGCACAAATTGGCAGAACGAGTTATACAATGTGTTGAGTTTATTAATGTGGGATTGCGATGCAGATGCATATACTACATGTCCATAATCAATGATTGGCATCAGCATTTGCAGTACAATCTTTTTCTTTACTGTAGGGCTTAGGCAGGATTTGTTTCTGTACAGGGCACCTAGTTTTGGATAAAGTTTAGATGCAAGCTTTTCTATGTGCGGGCCAAAAGATAGATTGGGGTCTAACATCATACCCAAGTATTTGAAAGAGTGGACTGCGGTCAGTGTGCCATTTGAATTTGTTTTGATGGATAGCTGGGAATTGTGTAATTTGTGTAATTTAGGTACTGTTCCAAAGATCATTGTGACAGTTTTGTCAGTGTTCAGGAAGAGTTTGTTTTTCTACTTTTCTACCTCTGTAAACTAGTCTTGGAGCACAGCCTCAAGCTGCGGTAGATCGGAATTGCTCGCATAGATTACCGTGTCATCTGCGTACATGTGTACATTTGAGGATTTGCAGACATTAGGCAGATCATTTATAAATAATGTAAATAGTAGGGGGCTGACAATGGAACCTTGGGGAACACCACACATGACTGGGAGGGGGAGGGAGTCGCTGTCAGAAATAGACACATATTGCGAGTGATCCGATACATACGATCGAAACCAGTTTAGCGAACGATCACCAATACCTGAGTTTTTGAGTTTGTGCAGTAGAATGTCGTGGTCTACTGTGTCAAAGGCCTTAGCAAAATCAAGGAAAATAGCTCAAGTTAGGTCTCCTTGTTCCATGCCAGTTTGGATGTAATTGCAAACTTTTAAGAGGGAAGTTGTAGTGGAGTGATTCTGGCAAAAGCCTGATTGATCAGGGGTCAGATAGTTTGATTGATAGTACTCACATAGTTGCGTATGGACACATTTTTGACAATAACGGGAGCAATGATATTGGGCGATAGTTAGAAACCATAGTAGTGTCACCACTTTTATGGATAGGCACTACTCTCGCAGTCTTCCAAAGTTTGGGTATGTATCCAGACACCAAGGATTCGTTAATTAGAGTTGCAACGGGTTTAGCAATTGCTGGCGCACTGAGCATCAACAGCATTGCTGGGATTTGATCAGGTCCGAACTGGTTTTTCATTTTTAGATTATTAAGATGTTTTTCAATGACACTAACAGGTACAGGTCTAAAAATGAACTTGTCTATATTGGGACTTTGCTAATTTAATGGGGCCTGATCCACATTTGTAGTTTCAGGATGCGTGTCATTTATTAGCTTGGCAATCAGGGCAGTAGAGCATCCGACAAAATAATTGTTAAATAATTGTCAAAGGCAATTGCTACATCTAAGGGAAGTTGCAGGGTTTGGCTTTCCACTTTGACAGTGGAGGGTTGGGAGTGGATTGGAGGAGTTTGTAGTTTATTTATGACTTTCCAAAAGTTTCTAGGGTTTGAGATGTTATTGTTCAGATTTTCACAGAAATATTGGGCCTTTGAAGGGCCTAGTTATTTTAACCTTGGGAGAGGATTTAATAACCTTTATTTTGCGAACGCAGTAAACTAAACAGTGATCACTGAAAGTGTTTGGGAGAACACCGACCTCCTGGATTCTGTCAGGAGAAGTTGAGAGAATCCAATCTAGCAGGGTATGGTTATGGCTTTTAATGTTTATGCGAGTTGGGGAGGAGATTAATTGCGTTAGCTGCAAAGTTTTAAACAGCGTGCAAGAACTATTATTTTTAGGATTCAGCCAATCAATATTAAAATCTCCAAAGACCAACAGTTCACTTTTTGGGTTTTGAGCTATGGTTTCACTAAGGAGATGGGCTATGTCAGATAGGGAATGCACAGGGGAGCTAGGTGGGCAGTAGATTCCTGCAACAATGATTGATTTACTGCACGGGATCTCAATTGTGCCAGAAAGGAAATCAAAGATGGCAGGAGGACTAAGGTTTTGTAAAGGGGTAAACTTTATGGAATAGTCAACATAAATAACAATGCCTCCTCCTCTCTTTGCTCTGTCATTTCTAAAACATCAATACCCCTGTATTCCAATGGCGATGTCTGGTATTTTAGTCATTAACTATGATTCTGAGAGCACAATGATTTTTGGGTTGTAATAGGAACACCAGGCTTGCAGTGCATCCAGTTTAGGGAGTAAACTACGGATGTTGCAGTGCACAAAAGAGAGGCCTTTTTTAGTGGGGAGATTAGGACTAGAATTAGCTGGTGGACCAGGGTTAGACTCCACATCATTTGCAAGGGCAAGTAACATAAGGAGTAGGAATTTGGACATCATTTTTGTTTGGCCATATAGTGAATGGGATACTTTATAATGTTGTGAGGTGGGGGTAGGAGGGCTATTTTTTAGAACTCTCCACCAGGACTCAGCAGATAAGTTAAAGGAACAGAGCATGCCATGGTGTATGATAATTTGTGTTCCAGTTTGAGATATGTGCTTATGCTGGTAGTGTTGTCAACAAAATTGGATTGAGAAAAGGGTTATTAAGAATAACAGTACGGTTATATTTGGATTCATGTTAGTGGGATGAGGTGTGTAGTTGAAAATGAAACAGAAATCGCGAAAAACAAAATGGGTCAAGAAGGTATTTTTTTATAGTTTGTTGTAACATTGAAAGCACTTCAAACTGTTTTTTTTTTTGCCTTTAGGATCAACAGCAAAATCAGGTGTGAAAAAGGCTGAACTTTGGATACATGTCTATTTTCAGCTATGTAGCAATGTAACTTCATCAAATATGGAGCCAATAGCTGCTCATTCAATAAGTATTTAGAAAAGAGCCTTGATAATGTATACAGTGTATAAAATGATTGGCACACAGTAATCTGGGAATTATCCAAAGCTTTTTTGAAGTCTAGAAGAAATTTGATCTAAAATGTACAGGTTAAATTGACATACATCAGAGATTTTGTATAGGTAATACAAAAGAGATAACACTGATAGCCCATAGGTGAAAAGACTTGGTACATTTTCCCATATAAATTTTATAATGAGATGGAAAAAAATGTTTGAATATTAATATAACCCCCCCAAATAATTTATCAAATAATAATAGAAATGATTTAACCCATTAGTAGTAGAATTTAGCTTTGTATGGTTTTGCCCTGGGGGTTTTATTGTAATTACTGGCAGAAGCATTATTCAAATCATTACCTCACCAAGCATTATACTGTTCATATTTTTATGACTGTAATTTTAAGCCGTGTTCTACCATAATTTGTGCTATTTTCACAGAAATGTCATTTTAGACAGATTGCAGTCATGAAATATGTGGTGTGATATAATGTCACGTAATTTACATCAAGACCTGGTTATGGACTTCTGCCTTGATTTGCAGTAAAACTCGATCGATTTGGCATGTTTCTGCCTATTCACACACCCTTTATTCTAGTGTCACCAGGGACACATTTTATGGACTGAAGGACTTTATTTGTTTTTTCCTTTTTTATTTGCGTATAAGTATCATTGTACATATTAGATACATAAGTGCCAGGAAAAATACAGCTATTTTATTTTACAGACTTGACTGTGTTTACCTTTACAGCTGAATAGCTGATGGGTCAGCCCTTTACTCCAGTATTTGTCAAAATCCAATCAGAACACTTTACTTAATTGTGGCTTTATATTTCAACCCAGATAAGCGATAAGCTGGCAGTATAAGCATGTACCAGTGAAATATAGGTCCGCAAGGGGTTAAAAATTAATTTTCATTTCCAGACAAGTAATAAAAACTGATAAAAATTAAGCCTGACCTTTGTACACACACACACACACACACACACGTATTTATTTATTTTTCGTGTATCATCCTAATCATTCTTGCAGCAACTTTGTAATATTAACTAACAACACATGTTCACATGACCGGATTACCAGCCTATCATACAAGAGGGTGGGTTATTTAACACCTCGTCTTGAGGCAGTGTGTTTCAGAACTTCTGATGATCCGATGTAGCAGGTGAATGGTTTTTTGGATTACTCTATTCTTGTTTCCTTAGATGCGGATCATACTCTTTTGATGTCATAGAGGGCTGGCAAATAACTAGGGATATAAAGCTGAATTTAGTCATCTGGTTATGGCTAAACTAGGGAACCGCCTCTCTTGGACATGTTCTCCAACTCTCATTTCACTGTAGTTTCATCGTGTTACACATTTATTAATACAATAAATAATAAAAACCTTACAGCTCAATTTGCTTGTTGTCATACAAGTTCACAATCAAAGCATAACACGTTTCAACACAGTCTGCATCTTCCTCGGGTTTCTAGATATATAGTGTTGTGGACAAAAATATTAACCCAATTCATGTTAGTAAAATGCCTATTTACTCAGCATAACTACAATCAGCATTATTCAACTTTCTATGTGATTTACCTAAAATTGCCGCTAGGGAGTTTCCTTCTTGACATCGACTAACACCCTCATTAACAAGATGGCGCTGGAATCTGGGGGAGACTTCCAAGATACCAGTGACATCACACCCGGTAGGAAGAGCACTAAACAAACCACTTAACACCTAACCAATTATTGATGTATTATTTCTTGTTATCTCTGACAATGCATATGATAATTTTGCTTTATAAGGGGCATGCCGTCCCCTCAGAATAATCATTCCTCAAGTTTTTCATTAACCCAAAACCTGTGTCTGGTGTGAATTACTTTAGAAGCGTGCACGCATTACTTCTTTAATTTGGCCGGGGGCAGATACGTAAGATAATCAATTTATTGATTGATTTCCACACCAATAGTGCTAAAAAAGTCCCCCTTTTGGTGTACCGAGATGGTGACTCTATTCAGCCGGCGAAACCGGAAATGACGTCACGGACAACAAACTTGCCAATTCGGCGCCAATTTGATGATTCAAAAGGGGGGCATACTTGGTATATGAAGATACAAATATTAAAGAGACAAACACATTCATATAATAAATATATATTAAGAAGGGAAGTAGAAACAA